AGAGATGTTTATGTCCAACATGTTGTCCATTTAAACTCATCTGGAGTCAGCATGCAGGCGTTCTTTCGTTCTTTTCTGTTAGTAGAAGTGATGGAAATATATAAATCCTTATTTTAACTGTTTCTAATATTTTAATAATCCTGCCGTCTGAATGTGACGTCTCTGTGTTTAACAGTTTAACAGCTCCAGCGGTTCTGTTTCACCTTCACGTCTCCTGTCAGGGAAACTGTGTCAGAGTGAAGTGAGCATTGACCTTTTAACTCGTCTTAATCCCACATGATCCACGCGGCTGCTGCTCAGCAGCGTCCTGCGTCTTCGTGTGCGTCACTGAAGCAGCTTGCTTCGGCTTTATCTCCCTCCCCTCCCTCGGCCGCCTGGCGAGGAGTCTGTTCTCAGTCTCTCTGGTCAGATGCTGGGATCAGCGTCCAGCTTGGTGAGGTCGGTGGCGGTGCCCATGAACATGCTGCGTCCTCGCTCCAGCCGGCTCTTCTTGTCCGTGAGCCGGAACGCCTCCATGAACTCGTCGATGTCGATGCTGCCGTCCTGGTTGCTGTCGATGGTGACGGCCAGGTCGGAGATGGCCTCCTCCGTGATCTCCATCTTTAGGTAGACGCTCAGCAGCTTCCAGGTCTGCCGGAAGTCCTCCATGGTGATGAAGCCTGAGGAGGAGGATGTTGGAGGATAATTAAGCAAAAGGGAAGGATGGCTACTGATCAGAACATGCATCAGTGTGTGTGCTGTGGTCAGAGGAGGGGAGGGGAGCGACAGGCCAACAGATCAGTGGGTTAATCCTCAGCAGGACTCAGGAGGCCGGTGTTTGCTGCGTCCTCGTGGGCACGCTTCAGGTGGATTAACGGAGGATGAGCTCAGTGGACGTGTCTCGGACTCACTGACACACTTCACACCTCGGCTGAACCGTGTCTTTGATTCAAACAGCATGTCTGTGCTGATTTTATGTTTTCTGATGCAGATCTGTTTCTTTGTAAACCTACATTTTATTAATAAATTGCAAAATTTCAACATTTTAAAACAGAAGCTGACATTTAACCCTCTGAACACAATAATCAATTTAAAAAACAAACCAAAAAAATATCACCAAAATACCATTTATCGTCCCCGATCCTCCAAAAACAGAATCATCACATGTTCAAACAGTTATTGAACTTTTCAGGCATCACTTCGGTGTTTTGGGGGAAAATACTTCAAATCTGGACTTAAATGAAGACATTTTGTTTAAATCACTGCGTTCTTCGTGTCTCATTTAAAAACTGGCCACAGAATAAACTGTATGAAGCAGATTCTGTAAAAAAAACAGAAAACAAATCTGCAGTATTGTTTGCATCGTGGACACTGCAGCACATTTAGAGAAATACAACTTTTTTATTTTTCCCTTTTTTGTGATCTATGGCGTTACAACTTTCTTAAACTGCACAAAACACAACTGGACCTGCTTGTTGAAGACGTTCCACCTTCATCCAAGAGGCTTCATCAGCTCTGACTGACTAGTTGGGAGTTCCACATCCTGATATCCTGAAGGAGACGTTAACACCTGAGTTGTTGCTCCTCCCCCTCGTTATGTGGGTTGTTAGTGCTCCTCCTGACACAGTGGGGTTCGTTAGGGTCTCTGTGGCTCGGTGTGGATGTGGGTTCATCTTCCTGGGGAGAGATCTGAGGACTGAGCTGTAAACAGGTGAGAGGTGATGCCTCAGACCTCCACCTCTGCTGAGGGATGGTCTTTCCAGTTAGATGGATTCTTTCAGCCCTCTCTCAGACCATCTGTCCTCCCTGCAGGACAACATCTGGACGTTGTTGTCTTCAGATGAGTGTCCTTTGTCCTTAAGGTGCAGGTGGACTGCTGAGTCGAAACTCAGGTGTTAATGTCTCCTTCAGGATATCAGGATGTGGAACTCCCAACTAGTCAGTCAGAGCTGATGAAGCCTCTTGGATGAAGGTGGAACGTCTTCAAGGAACTCAAACAGGTCCAGTTGCTACCATTAATCTATGAGAAGAACCAGGACCTGGAGGACTGAGGATCTCCACAGACATGCACAAAACACATGATTGAGTTCCCTCTCCTTCTAGTCATGGATGTGCTGTTTCCATAGAGCTGCAGGACTTTTTATTGGCGTGAAAAATGAGCCCAGAGTGAGTGAAAACGTGAAGTTACTCGTTTTTATAACGTCCTCTTCTCTTCCTCTCCTGTTCTCGGCAGCGCTGCACTGCTTGGCTTTGGTTTAGGTTTCAGGTTACAGTAAAAAGAGGAAAAACCAGCGGTGTGTGTAGAAGCACGTACGATGGTCCACAAATAATAACCGTCTTACCTGAGTTGTCTGTGTCCACGATCCTGAAGATGGTCTCCAGAGTGGAGCGGTGGCGGTACAACGTCTCCAGCAGACTTTGGTCAATGTGCTGCGAGAGGAGAAGCACCAGTTAAAGGGAAGCTTTTATTTGTCTTTGTCATTAAAGCTTTTATGTGTTTTAACATTTGCACAGATGGTAGAGCCTCACATAAAACATCCAGTTAGCAATAAAGACAAAGAGCAGTGAAACAGAACCACCAACACACCGCTTCATCTTCTGGTCCAAATGGAAGTCAGACTTTATCCTGACGGTCACCTCGGCCTCTTTCAGCCGCGTAATGTAAACCTGACGGTTAAAATAAAACCTTCTAATGGCAGCCACACCATGCGCTAGTTAACCTTCATGGCGTTAAAGATTTGTTCCCTCCAGACAGTCATCTGAAGATTCCTGTTGTGCCACTGTTCAGAGACTCTATCATCATGGTACCGAAGCCCAACCGTGCAGATCAGGCGTCGGTTTCCCCGCTACGGTTCCAACATTGGTCGTCTTGGGTTTGGCGGTCCTAAACCTTCACGGTGAGGTGAGGGAAGATTCAACCGCTTTATGTTGTCGTTACAAAGTGGAAGCACAAAACCTCATGGTTCAGTCGTAGACTTTAGGAGACCTCCACCACAGAAATCATGTTCTCTGTTTGTAAGTCCACACATGCTTGTTACCCTTCTGGACCCCAAAACCAACCGGCTGGTTTGAACGGCGTGTTGTCTTCAAACATTGTCCAAATGACACCATTGATCAGCGCCGGACAGTCCTGCTCCTCTGGGACACGATGTGCTGTCCAGAAATCTACCAAACTCTGAACTGATCATGATCACTTCTCAAAAATAAACATATTCTATGTGTCTTAATGAGCTGTCTCAGTGGTTAGCACCGTTAGCGCCTCCCAGCTAGAAGGTCTCCGGTTGGCGTCCCGGTGAGGACACCCGGGATCTTCCTGCGTGGAGTCTCCATGTTCTCCCCGTGCAGCGTGGGTTCTCTCCGGGTTCTCCGGCTTCCTCCCACAGTCCAGAAACATGCTGAGGTTAATTGGTGATTGTAAATTGTCCGTAGGTGTGAATGTGAGTGTGCTTGGTTGTCTGTCTCTAAGTGTAGCCCTGTGATAGACTGGTTACCTGTCCAGGTGAACCTGCCTTCACCCTGAGTCAGCTGGGATAGGCTCCGCCCCCCATGACCCTGGTGAGGATTAAGGTGTAGAGATGATGGATGGATCTTTGTAACGTGGCACTCTCACTACTCCATACATGAAGCCCACCTAGCTGAGCGGGCGACCCATGAACGGGGGCTGTAGTCCCAGATGCATCTGCTGCAGGTCCTCCCCAACTCTTCTCCCCACTTTCCTGTCTCACTCACTCACTATGCTGACTGTCCATCCATCCATCCATCATCTCTACACCTTCATCCTCACCAGGGTCATGGGGGCGGAGTCTATCCCAGCTGACTCAGGGTGAAGGCAGGTTCACCTGGACAGGTAACCAGTCTATCACAGGGCTGAATGTCTCTAATGGGTCGACCCGGCTACGTCAGACAGTGACAGTGCGTCCTTACGTCAGCGCTGGGACCCATGATGGCGAGCTCGTTGAACCAGTCGTAGTAGTCGATCATGCCGTCGCTGGTCTTGCGGGTGACGAGCTGACAGCGAAGCATCCTCCAGGGCAGGTCCAGGTGCATCACACTCTCCACGGCCGAGGCCCAGTCGTTCAGAGACACGAGACCTAACAGAAGGACAGGTTCAAAGCCTCAATGTGTTGCTTTTTGCACACTTACTACTTCTTCTGGGCCTTGAGTTGAGATTATTTTGACAAACTACGATTCCCACGACTCAGTGTCCAGACGGATTGTATTTAGCTTTCCTAAGTGGAGCAGATAAAGTGTACAGAGCAGTGTGTCCTCATCAGAAGGAGTGTGAGCTACAACTAAAAGCTCATCATAGCTACGGTCCTGTTAATGTATGTCTATAGAAACATAGCATGAGTTGTCCTTCAGTCTTAAATCACTTCTGCTTTGACGTGACCCTGGAGGACTTGTTGGAACTCATGGTTCCTGTTCCAGTGAGGATCAGGTGTTTGTCCAAACGTCCACGTTTTTCATGTGACTGTGTTCAGTTAAATCAGTGAACGTGTTCCGTCTGGAGCGTTCTGGGCTGAACTTTTACTTGTTTTCATCCTGAACGGGGATCATTTTGTTCCACACAACATACAAAGAACGGAGCTCATGTTTCTCCCCAGCCCGCCGCCGTCCTTTGAGAACTATGTGGGAACAGAACACAACAGATCGGCCACAGAATGAAGCAACACCTGATCCGCTGAGGTTCAGAAACGACACACACCTGTGTTCTCGCTGTCGAGCTTTTTGAAGGCACAGATGAGGTCAGACTTGTGCGCAAACAGCTGCTCCCGCAGGACTTTGAGGGCCGAGCGCTCGGTCCGGCCGACGCTGCAGAACATACGACAGCAAACACAGCGAGAGAGAGATGCTTCATCAGAAAGGACAGAACTGGGTTTCTCTGTCAAACAGAACTTCATAGATGTTGTCACTCATGTGCAGAGTTCTCGTCTAGTCCAGTCACAGAAGATTGTATCAATGTGTTAGAATATGATTAGTTAGCTGACAGAAATTTATCAATTTATTTTAAAAATGTATTTGTTTGTTCACCTGTTTTGTCCAGAGTCAGACGTTTTTAACTCAACAATCAATCAAATAATAAAAGTTTCCCTCAAAAACCTAATTTAAAAGAAGGTGTAAAATAATAAGAACAATAATAAAACAACGAGTAAGAAATGACTTAAGGTAAAAGTCAGGTTAAAAAGGTCAGTTCTAACTTTATTTTATAGATATCTAGAGTCTCTGCTGTGGTCAGACGCCGCTGAACGCAGCATCACATCAAACATGATCAATCTGTCATTCAACTTTGTGAAAACAGACATTTTCTCGTAGTTTTTTGGGCATTAAATCGTCTCAAAGGGACGGAGCGACCAGCAGGTAGCTCAGTGATGAAGGATGGATCGGTTCTGGTACCTCTGTCTCACGGTGAGCTCCCTGATCATGCTGCTGGCCTGGTACTGGAGCAAATAAGGCACGAGGTCCGGACCCAGCTTCACGTAGGCCCCTCTGTTGCTTCCCACGTCGTAGTAGTTGGAGGCAGAGAACAGAGTGAGGACCTGGATGACATGAGAGAAAGATGCTGATCAGAGGAACTGAACGTCACACGTTTGGAAACCAGCGCGGGTTTATTAACGCCTCGCGGTCGGTGCTGACCTTACGGTTGTGGCAGAACTCATAACCGTCCTGTTTACACTCGTGCGAGCGGATGATGAGCTGCAGGTTGTGTTTGTTCAGGAAGTCCTCGGTGACGTCGGGGCCCCAGTAGCAGCCGCCGCCCCGAACCTCGTTGGGGATGCAGCCGTCCTGAGCCATCGGGTCGCTCCACAGCAGGTCCAGGACCTGGTGGCGCACAGGAAACACAGGAGGGAGAGTTTGAATGTCTTAAATTACTCTGTTGTTCCACATTTAGCAACTATTTCTGAAGTCACTGGCTTCTCCTGCCTTCCTAAGTTTCTGCTATTCAACATGCAGCCGTGGATCCGTTCGCTGTGCATCTGAGATGAAACGACATTAAGTCTTACATCCTACAGACTAGATTACAGTTCGTCTCCTCTTTCCTCTTCACTGAGGTATGAGTTTGATTGTAGAGTTGCATACAAGGTCCAGAGACGTGCAGGGAAAAAAACAAATCGTGCAAATTAAAGTTCTCACACTGAACTTTCACAGAAATGAAAGTTTTTTTTGTAGAAATCAGGATTATTTTCATGATTATGCACATTGATAAATGAACTTTATACTCACAGTTGATATTCTGTCGTCTATTTTGGTTGATGTATTTGAAACATTTTATTATTTCGTTATTTTATTATTTTATTTTACCTTTTTTTGGTTTTATATTATTAAACCTTAATTAAAGTATTGCTTTCTTTTACCTGTTCATAAATTCAACATATACATTTAGGGGTAAAACACAACTGGAGCAATAATACGTGTAAACAGCAGAAGGGAGGAAACACATCTGAACAACCATCAGTCCAACTCTCATCCCACCTGGAAATAACTGTCAAGAAAACGACATAAATCAGTAAAAAATAAAAGTCATTAGAATCACTGCCATGTGTTTGTGTGCCTCCAAACACCAGCAAAGTTTACGTTCATATCTGTTCTTTAACAGCCGGACACCCGGGAACAGCGTCACCACTGAAACATGGTCAGAACCTGACGTGAGCGATGGCGTTAAATGGAGGCCACACGTGTTCCTGCAGCAACCTGTGACCACCAAATCTAACCTGCAGATGTAATGAAAGCCATGCTAGGATCTGTTCCTCTCTCCAGGGAGCGTGGCCTCACCTGACCGCCTGCTGATGACGCTACAGCCAGAGTTTGAGCCCGTTTGCACCTGCCTGCTGTTGAGGTGGTGAGCATGAGTTTAAAGGAAAAACCTGATTTAGCTCGGAGCAGAGGGATTAATGACGCGCTGGATTACAGCTTCCAAACACTCACGCAGCCAACAGACCACATCAGTGTTGATTACTGATGCTGCGTCTATCAGGTCACGACTCGGACCAAAATATCTTTCTCTCCACGACGGCGTTGCCAAGTGTGTGTCTTAACTAAACTAAACGCATGAACTCATCTTTTCCTGGGACTTTAAACGGTGTCTGAGTTTGCTCAGCGGCTGTTTGAATGAACATTTATTCTGATTCTAAACTCTGCAGAGGAGACGCTGTGGATTATTTTGAATCAGTGACTTAAAAAAAGCTCTGATTCAGGAAGCAGGACTGGTTTCCAACAAGGTTCGTAGCATTTAGTTGAACCTGTGAGCCGAGTGTTGGACGGCTGCCCAGAAGGATTCAGACCTTTAGGAGAGAAGTTCAACCAAAGTGTCCTGCAGGAGGACGCTGAAACGGGAACAAGCTTCTGAATAGTTAAACCTTTAACTGCTAATTTAATGAGTGATGAGTCCATATAAAATGCAGCATGAAGGTCATTTGTGTTTAAATCTGACCATAAATGATGCATTTTTTTTCATGTCTTTAACTTTATTGAAGTATTTTGTTTGTTTTTCTGACATCAGATCATTAAACTTTATCCACATGAGTGACTTTAATAACTTTTCATTCTCAGAACTCTAAACATGTGGATCTGTGCATGTGTGTGTATATTGACATTATCCTTGTTTTATTATTTCATTGGATTATTTTTAACATTATTTGCTGCTCTGTTGGTGTTTGTTTCTGCTTCATGCTGTCCTCCTGCCTTGTGAAGCAGTTACCGTCTGCTGCATGAATAAAGCTGCTTATTTACTGGTTTATAATATCCTAAAGCAGAAGACTCCTAACTTTTCAAACCACTGCTGCACTTCTTTATCAAACACCAGATAACTTAAAGTTGTCGTGTAGATATCTCAGAGCCTTCCTTCACCTGTTTCCACTCTTCTTTGGCGTTGTCGCTGTAGACAGAGTCAAAGGACGCAGTCGGCGTCTCTTGTTCTGGCGCCTTGATGGCAGCGTTGAAAATGGACTGCCTCCTCCTGCGGATCTCCAGCTCCGTCTCCATGTTCACCTTGATCCGGTCCGAGAAGTCCTGCAGCGAGCGGTTGTGGAAACAGTCGCGGGTGCCGAGGGGTTTGGGGAAGGTGAGGGAGGCTCGGCGCTGGAAGACCCTGTTGACCCCCCAGACGTCCTCGTCCAGGTCCGAGTCGATGGACGTGGACGCTGAGCTCTGGTGTCTCCTCTTCGGAGGCCTCAGCGCTGAGATGTACTGACGGGGAGCAGAGGAGAGCACACGTTAGAGGGCTGCTGACAGCTCATCAGTTTATCACACGGTCGGCTGCTCACGCTGTGTCTGTCCAGTCTGGCGAGGAGGTTCAGGTCCGTGGTGTCGGAGATCCCTCCGTGCAGGACCAGAACCTTCTGGTCGATCACCGTTGCTAATGGCAACCAGCTGAAAATCTTCTGCAGCAGCTTCAGGATCCGTTTGCCGTGCATCTGACAGGAGAAACCAACAGGAAGGAGCTGTCAACGTCTAAGTATCGGACAGAAGATTTGAGTTTTCTCAGGTGTTCCTGGTTCCTAGAGCTGCGTGATGCACACAGACCCAATCAGCCAAATGAGAGTCTTTGTTCTCACACTGAACTTTAACCAAAACGCCCCTTATTTCTGTCATTTATCGTAGAAATGAGGATTATTCTCCAAAAGGATTCATCCTAAAAAGTTAACTCTAAACTAGATGTTCTGTCTGTTTCTGTTGATTCATTTAAATGATTAAAAAAATGCCTTTTTGTTTTGTGCATATTTCATTTTATTATTTTATTGGTTAGTTCGACCTTCTCTGGTTCATTTTATTCATCAGTAATTGAAGCAAAGCTGCTATATTTGATCTGTTTCTAAAGTCAGTGAAGACATTTAGGGGGAAACAACAACATGTTTTCTGTTTTATTCTGCTAATCTCATGTCACGTTGCTTCCCTCATCCCTCTCATTCCCTCTCTGGTGTTTCTGTTTAGCTCCTGCTGGGTTCTGCATCACCAGAACTCTGCACTGTTATTAAAGGTAATGCTGCAGACAATTCAAACATCAGGAGCATCTGAGGTTTGGTCTCTGGGTCTTTGGGGCGGCTCGACCTTCCTGCTGACCTGCTGTCATCTGGTTTAATGACCTCAAATCCTCTTAGCTGTGAGGAGCAGTGGCCGCTGCTGTGTGCTATATCGAGCTTTCTGGGGAATGTGTGGGCGAAGGCCAATGTGCTTCAAAGATAGCACAGATAAGGAAACCTTTTGGCTCCTATGATAAAAAAAGGTGTTAATACCGAGCTGCTGGCAGAGGCAGAGCTGTGCTTGGAGGCATGTCGGGCTGCATGAGCTCAACCTACCTTATATTTAGTCAACACCTCCTTAGTGAAGCCGTACCTGAAAGCAGCCGGAGAAACACGAGTTAGGAAACAAGATTTAGCTGCGCCTGGTGGATGTGGTGCGAGAGGAGCAGGTAAACTTCACCTCAGGTTGACGATGTGGTCCTCGTGGTTTCCTCTGTTGAGGTAAACGTCGCTCGGATACACGAGCAGGAACGCAAACAGGATGAGGAGGATCTCGATGGAGTCTTTGCCTCGATCCACGAAGTCTCCGTTGAACACGTAGGGCTTCTCTAAGGACGGCATGCCGTTCTGCACAGCAGCAAGAGAGACAAAAGGTCTGTCCATAGTCTGAGTGTAAAGGCTTCCCAGAGAGACAAACACTGATTTATAGATCTAATAACGACTGAAGCTGCTGCAGCGAAACGTCTCAACAGGATTGTTTAACGAAGTCTGATTACAGCTGCTCAAATGTCATCAGCTTCTCTCAGTCTTACATCATTTTAAACTGAATCCTTCTCAGTCTTTGGAGCTGTCAAACTGTCCTGTTTAGATTTAACACAGAAACGATATCGATCCTTTAATTGACTTTATAACAGAAGCTTCATTCGTTCATTCACCCACAAAAACATCCATCTAACGCTGAGGATCAAACACTTCTGGCACAAAACACATGTTCATGGAAGCAGTGAAACGTACTTTACTACGTACTTCAGGACTTTTCATTATATATTGATATTTATACACTAAAGTTCAATGTCATTTTTACAGCCCTGTTGATGTGAGTTGAGTTTTGAGGTATAAGCTGGAGAAGAGTAATCCGATTACACTGTAAATATCAAAGCATCTCAAAAACTCTCAGCTCATAGAAATTAAAGAAAAGAGTTTAGAGTCCCGACCTTGTAGAAAACCAGCAGCAGGTCCTCCAGCTGTCCATGCAGATCACCTGTAACAGAAGAAGAGACATAAATACACAAATACAGGTGATTAACAACAAGATGGAAACTCAGGATCCACACGTCTGTCCAGAAACAACAGGGAGGCGCTTTGGTGGGTATTTATGACGAAAGCTCAGGTGCTGAAAACAAGCTTTAGTTTTTCTCAATTCCATCACACTTTACTGCTGTTTCTTTAATAGGAAATGAAGAAAACATGCAAATATTCACAATCTATAAGTCTTATTAAGGATTGTTTTGCTTAGAAATTACTTAACTAATGAACTGATGATTAGAGATGTCTGTGAGTGATTTTCTGTTTCAGGTGCTGATATTATAAATATTACAGTATTGTGCTTCTCTGCTTTCATTTCCAGTCACCTCTACTGTCTATCAGAAATCTTTCTTTTCTCTCACCACAGATCGTGATTTCCTTGCTGTGGCAGGTGGAGATGCGGTTGATGTTTGGCAACATGCGGAGCAGCTTCCACGTCTCCAGGAGGAGCTGGAGGGCGTAGCGCGAGTGCAGCTGCTGCTGGCGGAGAAGCTCATTAGCAAGAAGGCCTCAGACACAAACACACGGAGGCAGCCTCATGTCTGGAAACTGATGTTTGTCACTGCAGCACAGCCAGGCAGCCGCAGCTTCTACGCTTAAATATAAAACATTTTCTCCAAGATAGAGCCGATCTGTTGTCTGAAGATTACACGTTACACCAAAGCCCTTGTTGGGGAGGTCCATCCATCCATCCATCCATTAGTCCGTCCATCCATCCATCCATCCGTCCACCCATCCATCCATCCATCCATCCATCCATCCATCCATCCGTCCATCCATCCATCCATCCATCCATCCTCTCTACACCTTAATCCTCACTAGGTAACCCAGATACATTTTACTCCAGACAAACTTAACTAGTTCTGTCATTTTCATCATAATATCAGAGGATCTTCTCTTGCAGATGCTTGCATAGTACCAGGTGTTGTTGTCATGAACTATCTACCTGTTTGCATTAAAAGCAGGAGTAAAACTAAACTCTATTTATGACTCAGTCCAGCTGTGCGCCTACCTTCTTGTTCCTGAAGGCCTCCACCAGACCGACCGCCTGCTCCACCGTCAGAGGGAAGGTGAGATGAGGTCCTGAGTAAATCTCTGGCACCTCGATGTTCTTGTAGCAGAAGTGCCTCTCCCACTCGGCGTCCCGACACACCTCGTTCTCTCTGAAGATGTGCGAGATCAGATTTCCTGGCAGGTCGACACGGTTCGAGGTTAGTTTCAAAAACGTGAATGTGGTCAGGGGAATCCAAACGACCAACAGGAGCAGAGATCTTACGTTCATTGCTCGACGGTGTGAAATTGTCCATGAGGTATCCGAGGAAGTTGTAGAGCTGCACACGGAGGAGACAGGTTGTAGTTTCAGTGTTAGCTTTGAGCAAACATTCAGACTGGATGGTGTCTGGTGGTTCGTCACCTTGATCTGGGCCTGCTCTCCAGAGTACTCGATGGACTGGAAGATGTGCCAGGTGTACCTCCGCCTCATCTCTGTGCGGGCGACGTACTGACGGTACCACCGCTGGATCAGGACAGCAGCTCGTATGGCTGAAACAGACAGGCAGCACGATGGGGACGTTCTCAGTACTTTCTTCTATGAAAGTAGATTATCAGTGGAAACATCACAGAATCTGCAGGAGCGACTACAGGATGCAGGTAGCACTGTCATGTGGCTGTCAAGGAAAGGCTTTTTGACCACTAAGATCCATCCTTCATCCTCACTAGGGTCATGGGGGGGCGGAGCCTATCCCAGCTGACTCAGGGTGAAGGCAGGTTCACCTGGACAGGTAACCAGTCTATCACAGGGCTACACTTAGAGACAGACAACCAAGCACACTCACATTCACACCTACGGACTATTTAGAATCAGCTAAGATGCTTAACTTTGCTGTAAATTGTGTGTTTCGGTTCCTGATGACGTTAACGCACTGTGGACATGATCATCCCACAACACCCGCAGGTTGTGTATTAAGTATAACAAACACATAATTAGCCTCCTTACAGTCCTGCTGTTCATCATGTAAGGGATTTGTAATTAAAGACACATACGGTACAGCTTCAGTTCCTTCTGATGTGACACATGTTGTTGTCATGAACATTATTCTGATCAGTTTGTGGGTGACACACATTCACCATCAGAGCTCTAAATATAAGAGTGGTGTGAGCCTCTCCCCAGCAGGACTGCTGTCAAGACAACAGCTCGACGCTTTCTTCTAAATTAGATCTACAAACTTTACCACCTTAGTGCCACATAGTGTTGCTTTTTCAGCATTTGTTTATTTGAAGTCATTTGTTTTACTACAATCCACAATGTGAGGAGTTTTTTCATCACATTTAAATTCTGTGCGCTCATTAGAAGAAGCCGTGTGAGACTGAAACGACTGAATCAAAAACAAACTGTGACGTGGCTGCACTTGTTCAGGCTCCCAGTTTTACTTTAAAACCTTCAGCAGCAGCAGCAACACAAGCAGTGTGTCATCACTTTTCAATCAGGAGGCGTTGAACTGAACGTAGACGGACGTGTTTTCTTTCCCGTATGTGTCGGTATGTTTTAGACAGCATCGCTCTGCCTGACCCCGAAACGTGAGCTCTGAGTTT